CTCCTCCTCCACCAGTGGTGTATCAGCAGTCCTGTGTACTGGGACAGCTACCTCAGCTGTCTCCACATGGACACTGTCCAGGAATTGCTCGTGGATTCGGATGCTTCTCAACCTAGCCACCTCCTCCTGTAGCTCTCCCACCTGCTGCCTGAGAGATTCCACCAGCAGGCACCTTTCACATTGGATGGTCCCCCCAGCCTGGATATCAGTAAGTGGAAATTGCAAGTTACAGTCTCTGCAAAACCACACCAGGATCTGGGTAGAAACATCCATGCTCAGGCGCTCTGTCTGGCTACAGGCACAGGTGGAGGAGACAGAAACAGTGCTGGCACAGGTGTTGCGGGTCTTCCTAACCATCGCAAGCCTCCCTCTGTCAAACTCTCGTCTGCAGCCCCCTGTCCGCCCAAAAGGGTGCTGTATTGCTCCTCCTTCACCTGGAGAACTCCCTTGCGAAACTCCCTGTTAGCAGCCCCTGTTCGCATCTCTCTCCATTCTGAAAACTGATAATTTATTCCTACTCTTTGTTTCCTATCTTTTAACCAGTTACTGATCCAAGAGAGGACTTCCCTCTTATCCCATGATGGCTTACTTTTCAAAAGTCAATTTAAATTAAATACATTTTTTTTTTTAAATTATATTTTTTTCAGAAATCTAGCCCTGTTATGTGTTTTGGTGTAACTTGCATTATCCTAACAAAACATTTACTTTATTTATATCTCTTTTATATATCTCATTGGCCCTGACACACACACACACACCCCCCCCGTAAATTCGAACACCCCCCCTAATTTCAATTCCTGAAGAAACCACTGCTCTAGATCCCCTTCTCTGCCCCCCTGGACCAGCCCATCCCCCATCTATCTCCACATGCACCCATCCCCCTACCCATCCCTTCCCTCGCTCACCCATGCCCCCCTCCTCATAGACTCATAGACTCATAGACTTTAAGATCAGAAGGGACCATTATGATCATCTAGTCTGACCTCCCGCATGATGCAGGCCACAAAAGCTGACCCACCCACTCCTGGAGTAATTCTCTCCCTTGACTCAGCTGTTGAAGTCCCCAAATCATGATTTAAAGACTTCAAGTCGCAGAGAATCATCCAGCAAGCGACTCCTGCCCCATGCTACGGAGGAAGGCGAAAAACCTCCAGGGCCTCTGCCAATCTACCCTGGAGGAAAATTCCTTCCCGACCCCAAATATGGCGATCAGCAGAACCCCAAGCATGTGGGCAAGATTCTCCAGCCAGACCCATATTGACCATTGATACTAATTACCAGCGATGGCACGTTATTGACCTACTGACTAAAATCACGTTATCCCATCAAGCCATCCCCTCCATAAACTTATCAAGCTTAATCTTAAAGCCAGAGAGGTCTTTCGCCCCCATTGTTTCCCTCGGAAGGCTGTTCCAGAACTTCACCCCTCTGACGGTTAGAAACCGTCGTCTAATTTCAAGCCTAAACTTCCCGACGGCCAGTTTATATCCATTTGTTCTCGGGTCTACATTAGTACTGAGCTGCCCAAGTCAATCCTGCCAGAAATCTTTGGGGTTTCTCCTTCCCCAGCCCCGCTCCCCCATCTTCTGCGGCACTGTAATTATAACAACCCGGACTAGTGGGGGGCTGGTGGGGGGGGGTGAGGGTGGATCTTGCCGAGGCAGGGGGCTGGGAAGGGCCCGGCACAGAAGTTAAACATTGACGGCTGGGAAAGGTCAGGTCCCTGCGGGTGCAGATGCCAGCACCACCCTTCCCAGCTGATCCCCCAGACTCCACGCCATGGGGCAGCCCTGGGAGCCACGCCCGCAGGCACCTGGCCTCTGCCACCAGCCGCCAATGTTTAACTTCTGCGCGGGGCCCTTCCCAGCCCCCACCTCCTCGGGGTGTGGGGGGGATGTGCCAGGCCACGGGGGGCTTGGGCAAAGACATGAATCCCCCACATCTTGGCTTAGACTGAACATTGGGGTCAGTGCCAATGTCTGCTGGTGCCCCTCACTCCTGACTCTCAGCCCCTGCTAGCCCAGCCCTGGGCTCCCTCCAGCTCTGCTGGTGCCCCTCACGCCCGACCCGCAGCCCCTGCTAGCCCAGCCCTGGGCTCCCCGAATGGCTCTGTCTGCCCCCACAGTTCAGCTCAGGATTGGCTGGGACCTGTGGGGGTGGCTGGAACCGGCTGGCTCACAGGAGGGGGATCTGTCTGCAGGGCTGTTTGGGGGGACCTGAGGCATGAAGGGGCAAATCCCCATACAGGGCAACGGCCCCTGTGACATGAAATGCACCAAGGCAAATCCAACGGGGGCATGAATTTAAAGGGACAGCACCAGGATTCTCCTCCACTTCCCCCATTGGCTGGCCAAGGCAGGGGAAAGGGCGGGTCAGGCCCTGATTTGTTAATTACCCAGCAATGACAGCACACAAATGGGTTTTATAGTGTAATCCCCAGCCCCAGGTCAATGCCAGCCTGGTCAGTTTCCGTTTGGCTTCTCATCAGTTTCACTTTGTAGCTCTCATGCTCCAGCCCCTGCTGTGATGTTTGGGTTGCAATCAGGACAAGGGGGTGGGTCAGTCGGGCTATTTTAAATTCCAATCTGTTTCTGCTAAACCTAAATTTGGGGGCTAAGTATGACCATGTGCTCAGAATATGTGAGCACAGGGAGAGCATGTGGGTGTGCATTGGCATGGTACATGGAGGAGGGCAGGTGTTTGGGTGTGCAGTGTCTATGCCCAGTGGGGGAATTATGCATGCGGGGAGGAGGGGTATGTGGAGTATGCCCAAGTGTGGGTGCTGTGTGCTCGTGTGGTGTGCAGCGGCTGAGTGTTGCATGCTGCAGGTATAAGAACATAAGAATGGCCATACTGGGTCAGACCAAAGGTCCATCAAGCCCAGTATCCTGTCCTCTGACAGTGGCCAATGGCAGGTGCCCCAAAGGGACTGAACAGACAGATTATCATCAAGTGATCCATGCCCTGTCACCCAATCCCAGCTTCTGGCAAACAGAGGCTAGGGACACCATTCCTGCCCATCCTGGCTAATAGCCATTGATGAACCTATCCTCCATGAATCTGTCTAGCTCCCTTTTGAACCCAGTTATAGTATTGGCCTTCACAACACCCTCTGGCAAGGAGTTCCAGAGGTTGACAGTGCGTTGCGTGAAAAAATACTTTCTTGTGTTTGTTTTAAACCTGTTATCTATGAATTTCATTTGGTGGCCCCTTGTTCTTGTATTATGAGGAGTAATTAACACTTCCTAATTTACTTTCTCTATACCACTCATGATTTTATAGACCTCTATCATATCCCCCCTTAGTCACCTCTTTTCCAAGCTGAAAAGTCCCAGTCTTATTAATCTCTCCTCATACGGAAGCTGTTCCATACCCCTAATCATTTTTGTTGCCCTTTTCTGAACCTTTTCCAATTCCAATATATCTTTTTTGAGGTGGGGCGACCATATCTGCATGCAGTATTCAAGGTGTGGGCATATTTTGACTGCCGCTGCACATTGAGTGGATGATTTCAGAGAACTCTCCACAATGACTCCAAGATCTCTTTCTTGAGTGGTAACACCTAATTTAGACCCAATCATTGTATATGTATAGTTAGGATTATGTTTTCCAGTGTGCATTACTTTGCATTTATCAACATTAAATTTCATCTGCCATTTTGTTGCCCAGTCACCCAGTTTTGTGAGATCCTTTTGTAGCTCTTTGCAGTCTGCCTGGGACTTAACTATCTTGAGTAGTTTTGAATCATCTGTAAATTTTGCCACCTCACTGTTTACCCCTTTTTCCAGATCATTTATGAATATGTTAAATAGAACTGGGCCCAGTACAGATCCCTGGGGGACACCACGATTTACCTCTCTGCATTCTGAAAACTGACCATTTATTTCTACCCTTTGTTTTCTACCTTTTAACCAGTTACCAATCCATGAGAGAAACTTCCCTCTTATCCCATGACTGCTTATTTTGCTTAAGAGCCTTTGGTGAGGGACCTTGTCAAAGGATTTCTGAAAATCTAAATACACTATATCCACTGGATCTCTTTTGGCTGCATGCTTGTTGTCCCCCTCAAAGAATTCTAGTAGATTGGTGAGGCATGATTTCCCTTTACAAAAACCATGTTGACTATTTCCCAACAAATTATGTTCATCTATGTGTCTGAACATTTTGTTCTTTATGATAGTTTCAACCAATTTGCCCGGTACTGAAGTGAGGCTTACTGGTCTGTAGTTGCCAGGGTCACCTCTGGAGCCCTTTTTAAAAATTGGCATCACATTAGCTATCCTTCAGTCATTTGGTACAGAAGCTGATTTAAATGATAGGTTACAGATGACAGTTAGTAGTCCTGCAATTTCACATTTGAGTTCCTTCAGAACTCTTGGGTGAATACCATCAGATCCTGGAGACTTATTACTGTTTAGTTTATCAATTTTTTCCAAAACCTCCCCTAATGACACCTCAATTTCCTCACTAGGATTTAACTTCCACTTTTTAAAGAATGCCTTTTTGCCTCTCACTGCTTCTTTTACTTTGTTGTTTAACCACAGTGGCTCTTTTTTGGTTCTCTTATTATGTTTTTTAAATTGGGGTATACATTTAAGTTGTCACCCATCCCCGCGGGGGTGGGGGTGAGGATGACAGACAGGCTCCACCCCGGTGCGTTCTTTTTGCTTTATTAAAGTCTCTGCTCTCACTGCCATTTCCTGCCCAGACTCCCTGGTTCATAGATCTGCCAACTGTAAGGCCAGGAGGTACCATTGCGACCATGCAGTCTGACCTCCTGCATAACCCGGGCCAGAGAACCTCACCCAGCAATTCCTGCATCAAGTCCATATCTGGTGGTTGAGCTAGACTGGCTCTTCCCACCAGCCTCAGGGGTGGGAATCTGCACTGTCCTATGGGGAGGTGAAAAGTCCCATCTGAGCCGTGGCTGAGGCTCCTGGCATGTTGCCTTGGCCTGGCATCACCAAAGTTCTGTCCCCACACCTGCCAAGTCATGCTGCAGCAGTGGGGGCCATCCGTGGGCTCCAACTGAAGTCAGTGCTCTGGTAGCATGGAGGCTCCTAGACGGTGCTTTGTTCCTCCTGCCCATTGATGGTGACACTGGCCTCGGTCATGGAGCATGGCAGCTGCTCGGTGCCGAAGGGGCGCCGGCAGCGCTGGGCCGTGGCGCTGCCCACTTGTGGGCTGTAGACAGTGGAGGTGAGCTCCTGGCTGGGCAGGGCAGTGCCCGCACGCAGTGCCCTCCACCTGGCGATGAATCTGCAGTACCTGCGGAGAGGGGGACACAGTCACTCTCACATGGGCAGCCAGGGTGCAAGGGGGCCGGGGGGGGGAGACACAGGCCAGAAACTAAGGATCTCCCTGGAGCCCAGCCCCAGCAACTAACGCCACTAAGAGCATCTCACTGGCAGAGGGTGTGCCAATGCCCAAGCTGCCTGTATGGCATGGGCACAGCTTGACATCAGGGCTCAGGCAACACAGCAGGAAGACGAGTGTCCAAGAATGGAGTGGCGACAGTGCCTGGGCAGAGAAAGGGTCTGGTTGGGAGGGGGAGGATCTCACCAGCCTGGGGGCAGGGGAAGGTCAGAGTTTTTTGCTTGACACAAGAAGCAGTGCTGCCCCTTGCACCCAAGGCTCCTGCTCCTGGCCCTTTGTGGCACCAATGGGCCCATGGGGGGTGGGGGGAGAGTTAACAGCCGTTCCTACTCCAGCCGGCCCTGGCAAGCAAGCTCTCTATGCAGGAGGAGGCTGTTATGCAGGGTGCCAACAACAGGAGGCAGCACAGCAGGCAGCAGACCCTGGCATGACAGACCCCGATTGCCTGGTGGGAAGGGGCTGGGAGCTATAGTGGGACGCGCAGTCCTGGCTGAACTCCCCCCAGGAGCTGGGTTCACCCCCAATCCTGACATTTGCTCCAGCCGGAGATGTGGGGCTCATAGAATGGGAGCCCATGGACCAGCAGGGCTCTGTGGGGGGAAACCCAAATCCCCATTACCCCAATCCCTCAGGTACCACGAGGGCAGAGTGATCCCCTGGGCTCGGGTCCCTGTCCAGACCCTGAGCTCTGGCTGCTGGCTCTGCTGAGATGTGGCAGCTAGCAGGAGCTGCCCAGGTGCAGGCTCATGTGCCGGGTGTGAAAGGACAGAGCAGGCTGGCACTAGACTGGCCTGGGGAGCAGAGAGAGCAAGGGAGAGTGGGGTTACTATGCAGCTAGCGCCACACACACCTGCTTTGCAAACCAGCCAGGGTGCAGGCAGGGAAGGGGCAGACTGTGGGGGAGATGGCAGGAACAGGTGAACTGTGACCCCCAATGGCTGGGCATGGGGGGTGCAGGCCAAGGAAGGCACTGGGGAGACACTGAGCTGGAGGTACTGGTGGCTTGGCCCAGGAGAGGCAGCAAGTGTGTGTGGGGGGGTGTCATTCCAGGGATGGTGGAGTGGTGGAGCTGGGCACTATCTGTGGGGAAAGGGGGATTTGGGGCAGAAGGGAGGGGTGGATGGAGGAGCAGAGGGGAGGACCCCAGGGGCCTCGGATGGGGGAAGGACTGGGCAGAGAAGTCAGAGTCAATGGGGGAGCAGAACCCACGAGGGCTGGGGATTTTGGGGGCAGGTCAGCAAGGGGACGGGGCAGATCTCAGGGTCTTCCATAGGCTTCTGACACAGGGGAGGGCAAAAGGAGGCCTGGGATCAGAGGTCAGGGGCAGCTCCCAGACAAGGGCAATTCTCCAGACTTGGGGGATTGGAGTGAAACTTCAAAAGCCCTGAGTGAGGGATGGACCTGACCCCCCGGGCTCACCGCCCACCCCGGAACAGGGCCCGACCTCCGCGCTCATTGCCCACACCGGGAGTGGGGCCCGATCCTGGGCTCACTCACCAGGATGCACTCACACCCAGGGCCAACGAGAGGGGGGGAAGCTGGTACAAATTACCGGGGCCCGGCGGTCCGGAAGGGGGCCCGGGGCCCGGCTTCCCCCCATCTCGTTGGCCCTGTTTAGCCAGTCTGCCCTTGCTGGGGGACCCGAAAAAAAATTTTCACCAGGGCCCGAACCCGCTCTCGGCGGCCCTGCTCACACCTGGAGTGGGAGCTGGGCTATGGCCAGATGTGAGGACTAGAACAGGAGGTGGAGGGCAGCAGGGGTACGTACTAAGGAGCTGCCTGGCTTTTGATCATCCCCAGCAAAGATCCAGGGATCACAGCCCTTGCAGTGGCTTCCTGAGGGGGCGAATACAGGCTGTCCCCCCGGGGATCTGGATTGCAGGCAGGGCCGGCGCCAGGGTTTTGGCAGCCAAAAAAAAAAAAAAAAAAAAGCCACGATCGCGATCTGCAGCGGCAATTCAGCGGCAGGTCCTTCGCTCCGAGCGGGAGTGAGCAGGGCGGCTCCAAGGTTTTGGCCGCCCGAAGCAGCCAAACAAAAACAAAACAAAACAAAACAAAACAAAACAAAAAAAGCTGCGATCGCGATCTGCGGTGGCAATTCGGCGGATGGTCCTTCGCTCCGAGCAGGAGTGAGGGGCCGTCCGCCGAATTGCCGCCGAACAGCTGGACATGCCGCCCCTCTCCGGAGCTTGGTAAGCTGGTGCCTGGAGCCAGCCCTGATTGCAGGGATGCAGGTTCTGTGCCTGATTTGGCCAGTAATGCAGGGCTGGGCTCACCCCACCCCCAGAGTACCTTCAAGGCCAGGCACAGGACACAGAGCCCTATCTCTGCACTGGGGTGGGGCAAAGCTGGATTGGGGGGGTTGCCCAGGAAGGGGGGCTGGAGACAGGGGTTAAATCATAGAATATCAGGGTTGGAAGGGACCTCAGGAGGTCATCTAGTTCAACCCCCTGCTCAAACAGACAGATTTTTGCCCCAGATCCCTAACTGGATTGAATTCACAACCCTGGGTTTAGCAGGCCAATGCTCAAACCACTGAGCTATCCCTCCCGCAGGAGAAGTAGGTGGGGAGAGACATCAATTCCTGCCCCAGCCTGTAGGGGGGCCTGACGGAACCATGAGCATACCTGCAGCATCATCTCCCGCCCCACCCCGGTCCCCTGATTAAGCCCCGTCCCCAGCAGCCCGTGCCCCGCCCGCACCTAGAGTGGGCCATCCGCTCGCGGAAGAACTCGGTGCAGAAGAGGACGAGGACGGGGCTGACGCAGCTGTGGGCATAGCTGAGGCAGATGGTGAGCTGGTTCAGGTAGAAGGAGGCGACGGAGGGGGCGGCCGTCAGGTTGACCAGCTGCACCACGTGAAAGGGTGTCCAGCAGATGAGGAAGGCAGTGATGATGGTGAGCGCCATGCGGGTGACTCGCCGGCTGCGGGCCGAGCAGCGTCGCTGCGCCCGGTGCATGGCCCGGAACAGGTGGTGCAGGGTGAGGGAGTACAGCACCGTGATCACCAGCAGCGGCAGGAGGAAGGCCGCCAGTGACTGGTAGAGCGTGTACCAGTATAGGCTGCTGGGGCCTGGCAGATCCATGAGGCACAGCTCCGTCTGGTTCTCCCGCTGCACCCGGGCGTACAGCATGGCTGGCGTGGCCATCACCAGGCTGCTGGCCCACACGCCAGCATTGATCAGGGCCGTACAGCGCAGCGTCCGCTTCTGGCCCACTGTGGACGAGTACACAACTGCCACGTACCTGGGGAGAGAGTGGCCATCAGGAGGGGCATGGGGCAGGATGGGAGGGTGAGGCAGGGAGATCTAGGGGTGACAATGGGGCTGGGGATGAAACAGCTGTTGTGCCCCATGTTTCAAAGAGGGGATAGAGTTCCCAGCTGCCCCAGCTTGGAGAGGCCAGGAAACAATGACCCAAGTGCTGATGCAGGGGGTCCCTACCCACAGGCCCTGAGCAGGGGGTGCAGACCCCCTACACCAGCTCAACACTATCTGAGGGGGCTGGGCAGGGGGGTTTGCTGGGGCTCAACTTCACCCCTTTCTGCCCTGCCACACCCCCACCTCCACCGGAGCCCTGCAGCCCCCATCCTCGTTTCAACCCTGCCCCACCCCCAGCTCCACCTGTGTCCTGCGGTGCCCCCCTCCCATTCCAGCCCTGCCACCCCCTAGCTCTGCCTCTATCCTGAAGCCCTCCCACTATTCTAGCCCTGTTCCCCCCACCTCCACTATTCCAGCCCTGCAGCCATTCGGGCCCTGTGTGAGTTCAGCCTTTGGGGGCTTGTCCACCCCCCAGGGTTGCCCCAACCCCGCAGGCTACAGCCTGTACCATGGCTGCCAACACCGCAGCTGTGAGAGCGACACTAGCTGCCCAGAAGTAAAGTGACTATATTTTCCCAAAGGGAAAACAGGACACCCCATGGGGCAAGGGCTGTGCTGCAGAGCGTGCCCTGCTGCAGAGCGTGCCCTGGTGGGTACCTGTCCACGCAGAGCACGGTGACGATGGCCACGCTGGTGAACTGGTTGTTGAGGTCGAGGGTGGTGACAGCACGGCACAGAAAGTCCCCGAATATCCAGCCGTGCTCCTGGACAAGCTGGTGAATGATGAAGGGCATCCCCACCAGGAAGAGCAGGTCAGCCACGGCCAGGTTCAGGATGTAGACGTCCGACACCAGCTTGTGCTTGCAGCTCAGCACGATGGAGATCACCAGCCCGTTGGCCAGGATGCCGCAGCCGCAGATGAGGGCGTACACCACAGGCAGCACCAGTGACAGGGCCGGCCCCAGAAGGCTACCCCAAGCTGCAGACCCCTCGGTGTCCAGGGGTAGGGAGCCCAGCGGCTCCAGCTCGCACGGCATCAGGGAGAGGTTGGGGGGCCCGGCATGCAGAGCGCCAGAGAAGATGTTCAGGCCCAGGGTGAAGTCACTGCTCCTGTCCAGCAGAGCAGCCACACCTGGCCCCAGGTGCGAGGCGTTGGCATGCCCCGAGTACTGCGGCATGGCCACTGCTGGGGCAGGGGGCACCCAGTGTGGGTCAGAGGGTGTCCAGGGATGGACCCAGAATGCACCAGCCCCTTCTCCTGCTAGCACTCGGGGATGTGCTGCTGGCCCAGGAGGGGGCCCTTGGGAATGGGAGTGGCCCCTAGACGGGGACCCGTCAGCTAGCGTCCCCACGACGGCTCCCGGGCTAGCTGCTGCCCGCTCCCCCGGGCCGTCCCCAGGCGGCGGGGGGGGGGGGGGTGGCGCCCCGTCACCCCCAGCCTTTAAAGGCACCGGGGGGACCCCAGCCTCGTTGAGTCCCGGATCCAGCCCACGGGAGCTGCGCGGCCAGACGACGCCCAGCAGGGCACCTTCCCCGGGGCACTGCGCTGCGCGGCTGGGCCCGATCCCCGCGGATCCGGAGCCACTTGCTCCTGCCCAGGAGCCGCCCCGGCCACTCACCGGTGCCTGGATCCCGGAGACCGCCCGGACCAGGCTGCGCAGGCTAACGGCGCCGGCGGATGGAGCCGCCCCCGCGCCCAGGGCTCGGCCAGAGGCTCGCGGAGCCCCAGGCTCTCCGGGACCCCCTTGGGGCTGGGCCCGGCCGGTTCCGCCTGCGGGGCCGGGGGAGCCGAGATCCGCTGAGCCGCTGCCCCCCCC